ATAATAGACCATACTACCCATAATGCACCATTGACCAGCATATATAAATATTTGACCCGAAGCATAACACACAAGGCCTGAAGATTGCGTTCACACATGAAACAGTCTACACTTGGTGTTGAGCTCAGAGTCTGGTTTTCTATTTTCTATTTATATTTACATACGCTCTAGCTCTGATTTATATATTTACCTATAAATATAGCATACCTGAAAACTATATTTTTGTTGTAACCTAGAAAGGGTTACTGAATGAGGGATAACCAAAACGGAGGTTGGAAATGAAATGGTAATCTTTATAACATCAACAAACTACAATACTCGCCAGCGGCGTGAAGTAGGTAAACCACTGCTAGTGGTGGACTACTTAGTATACCCCCACTTACATTAGTGTCGAATGTCTTTATCAGAATTGGGACATACCCATTAGTGTTCATAGGTACGGTATATAACAATTTTTATCATATCTATCTATCTATCTGAATGTTAAATGTTCCGTAATATACTGTAAGTAAGAAATTCCAGGCGTTTGTAGATGGCCTAATTTCCCGTTTGTTTGTATGCTGCATCTCTGTAAAGACGACTAATGTTCTGGCGGATGAATAAGTCATTAAAATGTTTGTTTTTTAGCACATTGTCGACGAGAAATGCTTCCCGCTCTTCGAGCCATGCATTCTTAATGGAAACGATCACCTTGACAACAGGGAACCGCCTTAAAGACAACTCGTTTCTATTGCGCTATAAGAGAAAAACGTCAAGGCATTCCTTGATGTTTACGGCATTGGCAGGGGTGTTTCGTTTTCTTTTTTCTTTGTTTTATTTTTTTAAATAAGAGTTCCTCGTCATAAAGCAGTTAATATTACATTTTACGTCGAGTAAAGTGTACAGTTTATTTCGTTCGAGTATCGTTCTACTGTCAAAAAAAAAAAAAAAACGATAGCATCGCATTTCTCAGATCAAAATGGATTCAAGCAAAGAAATCCTGTTGGTCTTCAAGAGAACGGTCCTTCGTCGGATCTCGCAGATATGTCGCCACTCGAGGTTGATTTCACTCTACACTCACTCCATAAATGGAAAGCGTGATGGAGTAATGTATAGCGGCTCGAATTGAGGAATCGGAGAGCCGAGTTCGGATTCCAGTCGAATCCATGACATTTGGGAAAGGTATGAATCCTCTTCTCCACGCAGCTATGAATAAATAGCAAGAGAGACAGCGTTCTATAGCCTTGGGTGGCAGCTGGTCTAAGAGAAGGACGACTCTAAATTCAAAACCTGTGGAAGGTCTTTTAGAACCTTGTGGCACACGGTGCACCAAGTCTCTGTATTCGGCTCTCCAAAAAGTGTGGCTAGTTCTACACAAGCCTTCGCCACTCTTAACAAATCTTCTGTGTCGGTGGTCTACACTTCAGTTCTGCGTTCAGGATTGTTGTCTCTTACGAGACATAAACATGAAAAAAATACTGAACTGAAAGACACTCAGACGTCGAAAACGATGGGAGAGTCCATTATATATATATATACACACATATATATATATATATGAAGAAATATAGTTTTAAGGTGTTCTATATTTATGGAATAAAGTGCTCAATATCAGAGACAGAGCGTATGTAAATATAAAAAGTGAACATTGAAGTCAAATATATTTTGAATTGAATATTGAAGTCAATATATATATATATATATATATATATATATATATATATATATATATATATATATATATATATATGACCGGCATAAATAAACAAAATTTGTATTTATTACCACTCATGATAGCAATTAAAAAGGAAAAAAAAAAAAAACGAGTTAGCTAACCGGGTTCGAACCTCGCTGGACAGAGCTAAATAAAGAGGTTAATAAATGTATAATTATCAATAAAAAAGATGAACAATATGTAGGGATGAAAAAGAATAAAAAATAAATGTAAATTAATTGGAGGCCTAGTACAAAATCCTTCTGTTTGCAAAACAAACTTCTCAAGGACAAAATATATATGGCCTCCAATATTTTCAAGTGATGACTTGATTGGATGGGACTTACTAAGGATACACACACACACACATATATATAGATATATATATGGATAAATTTAATTATAAACGAATGACATAGAAATGCGGTTAGGTTTTTATTTAATTTTTCTAGTGTTCTTATAATTATGTAGAAACTGTCCAAATATTTTGTATGCCAGAACGCTTTCGGCTATACTTTCAGCCATTATCAAGGATGAATTTTATTTTTACTTTTAACTGAATGTATAGATTGTTTTATGTATTTATCTAGTGTTATAGGAATGCTTTATTTTACACAATCAGTACATTGTGGCCTTGTATATATTTGATATTACTGAGTGTTGGCTTTTACTTATAGCCGAATCGCTCGGACACACAAAACATTTGGACAATTTCTAATACTTAACCGCAGTACCTTGTCTGTCGATTTTAATTAAACTTCTATAAAAGAGGGATGAGGGATTGCTGCCCAAATACACAATTAATCATTTCATCGCAAACAAGACGAAAATGTCACAAATACGCAAAGAGTCACGGGAAGTGAAAGAGAATGAGAAGATTTTAGAAGGAACCTGAAACTCAATCCTAAACACGAAACAAGGGATAAACCTGTAGTCCTGTCCAATAGACGGGAAATCCTTTGGTATATAATCCAAATGGATCCTAGTAACATCAAATATTAAAACTGATCTCCAAAAAGAATTCAATGTTTTTATTATAATAGAGCATATCAATTAGACAACAATCTTATTCAAACACCGGTGTACAGACTCTCTCTCTCTCTATATATATATATATATATATATATGCACGTGTGTGTATATATATGTGTCTGTGTATATATGCGTGCGTATAAATGTGTATATATGTGTACGTATATATATGTGTGTAGATATATGTCTGTGTGTATATATATGTCTGTGTGTATATATGTGTGTGTGCGTATAAATATATGTATTGTATATATGTGTGTATATATATATATATGTGTGTGTGTCTGTTTTTATCTGTGCACATGCGTGGGTGCGGAAAGGTTCAAGAGAAGGTTTAATAAATCTGATATTTGCTGAAATTGACAGACGCACACACACGCGCATCACACTCTTTTTTTTAAATATATATATATATATATATATATATATTTGGCGCGATACACTCTTTTTAAAATATATATATATTTGGCGCAATACACTCTTTCTTTTAAATAATATATATATATATATATATATATATATATATATATATATATATATATATATATATGTCCTGGGTATGACGGTAAACTACAACCGGCAACAAGTCTTCTGATTGGGAGATTGGAAGATTTGATCAGCGTGGAACCACCTTTTACTTGCTGTTGTTCTCAGATCCGCCCTGATCTAGCACCTGTTAGGGTCCCAGGCTCTTTAGTGTTATAGAACATGACTGGAGATGGAAAAGTGTTAAACTAAAAGTCTGAGGTGTATTGTCTGCTTCGTCTGTGGTATTTATTTGCACCAACCGAATGTATCAATAGTTCCGAAAAGTGTGGATGGTTCTGCAAAAGCCTTCACCACTTTCATCAAATCACATGTGTGGGGTTTCTGGCGGTTTACACTCTTTCGTTCGTTTTTATCTAACTTTAGATTATTGCACAAAATTCACAACTGAATCAATTGGTTAAGTTGTCAGATCCTCACACGTCGAAACCAACGGGAGAGCCCATTATATATATATATATATATATATATATATATATATATATATATATATATATATATATATAGTTTATTCAAAACATCAAATAATGACGGCCATATTTTAGGAATTTTGCAACAGCATCGATTATATTTGCATGAATAATCTAGCATCGATGAAATTATTTAAGCAACTCATGTCACATGTCGGAAAGGATTTTATTTTTTAAATCATGGAAAGTAAATATATCAAAAGAAAGCTAACATATAATAACCTAAATAATAATCAATATTGCAGGAATCTGACCCCCCTCCAAACTTACAAATGAAATATTCACTTGATAAAGTAACACAAGGCTTGTTTTCATATAAGTGACAGGACCCAAAGAGTGTGAGTTCAATACCCGGTTAAGGCAGTGGAGAACTTTCAGAGGGAAATTAGCAGGAGATAAACATCAAACATGGCACGTGGAACTAGAACAGTCTACCCCAGTGAGCGAAATAAAGGGTTCAGTTCGAAATTCCAACCAGCTGAAGAAGGCCGGAGCGTATAACGGCCGAAACGTTGAGATAAATATGGCGACAAAGATGGGGACAATAGTCTGAATAATGTAAATAACTTTTTACTAAGAAAGAGGTTTCAGGATTTTATATACGAGGTGCATTCCAGAAGGTAGTTATAACTGTCGTAGATTATTGCAATTTTAGTATATGATTACGATACAACTATTAAGCTGATCTGCCAAATTCTCTTATTCCAGATTGAAGGAGTCGGCTGGAACAGTTCTTTGAACACAACCTACTACAGCTGACGAGTTTGCAGAACGCCGTCTGGGCGTGAAGACAATTTGAAAACTCGCTATGCAATAACATTTTGTGTTGACAAAGATAAGCATCAAAACTGTACCTTACCCTCCCTACATTTCAGACCTTGCTCCTGAGTTCCCATTTCAGTTGGGTTCGTTATATTCACTTACGCGGAAATACACTTGTTAAAGGTATAAGTCCACCTCTTCTCCCCCGCTATGGGTTAATTAGTAAGACTAGTATCATTAAACCACTTTTATCTTTAAAAAAATTATAATATAAAAATATTTTATGGCTTTAAATAACCTGTAAATGGTTGATAGACCGTAGAAAACTAACGAATGAATTAATCCATTTTTTGGGAGAGACATTTATTAATTTAAAAGAAGTACAAAACTCTAATCTTCTTCAAAGTAGGATTCTCAGTGCACTTATTGTAGACCTCCAACCATTTCCTGAAGGCCCCGTGTCATCCAAAGTGGAGGTAACTACACGCAGAGCCAAGCTTACAGCACTTAGTAATCACAAGCGGTCGCCGCCCATCTAGGGACTTACCATGCTCGACGTTGCTTAACTTCAGTGATCGTGTGGGAACCGGTGTTCCAACGTGATGCGACAGTAAGCGTCTTGAAAAAGTTTCAACTTCTGGAATACAACTCATATATGTTTAAACCATTCTCGTAATAACAGTCCAGATGGTGGTGTTTATCAATCCACCCACGGGGATCGAATGTGGCACAAGGCCTTTTTAATGTGGGTATGTCTGAGCCCGTAGGCCCAGCCAAAAATAAAACCCATCTAAACCCGTCCAAGCGGGCTAGTTCCGTCAACCTCCCCGAACGAAACCCCACCCTTCGGTGGAGCTTCGTCCGGGTTCCCCTCTGCACGCAGAGAGTTCGACAGACACCCGACCCGGCAGCTCACAAAGCGCAGATACTACACTTTGATCCTAGCCACAGGGCCGAGCGGGTATTCTTTTTATAGATACTAACAGTCCAGATAATATTTTATTCTCCCCCTTTCTCTCTCTCATACACACAAAGAGAGACTCACACAAATGGTTCAAGTGATTTCACTTCAGCTAAATCACAATTTAATGACTGCATATGAATATCATAAAAGTAATTTGAAAATTCTAATCGTAAACAGCTGTTGGCGTTAATGTACATTTAAAGAATTTGGTCGAGTGTCAGAGTGATATTAATGTCTTTGGTAAAAAGAATTTATGAGTAAAAGAGAAAGTTCTTTGTTTACATTATTGTTGTGACCAAATAATGGGTTAAGAAATAACAAAACAAGAGTTTGTAGATAAATAGTGTATTGAACAGTAAATACAACAGAAGTGAGTTACACGACTTGGGAGTGTGTGTCGGTTGACCAGCGTTCAGTCTATATCACCGTTAATATTTAACAGCCCTCCACCAACGAGGGATATATGTGGCACAAAGCCGGGTTTAATGTGGGTCATCCGAACCCGTAGGCTCGGCTAAAAAATCCCCGTAGAACCCGCATAAACGGGTTCGGGTCTGTCTACCTCCCTGGACGAAACTCTGCCCTTCGGCACAGCCTCGTCCAGGTTCCTCTCTGCCAAAAGCAGAGTTCGACAGGAGCTGCAAACAGCCTCAGTAGAAGAGTCTATATCACCGTTAATATTTAACAGCCCCCACGAGGGATATATGTGGCACAGCCTTAGTAGAACAGTCTATATCACGGTTCCCCCGAGGCTTACTTTTCCTACTACTTGATAGTAAGTGGAAGAGTCCACAATTGCCTCATTAGAGGGAAGACACTACAACAATTATTAAATCAGATTCTTAATAAAAAGAGTTTCTGATGTCAATGGCAATAGGGCCGAATATATTTACGATTGAGTCGCCCTCAGGCAATAAAACATTGTAAGTACATATTAACGTATTAGCACGCCTTCTACTACTGTTCTCAGATGCACCCGTTCTAGGACGGCTTATATCGATTCTGAATATATCTTGTCTATCGACCTTGCATACACGTGTGATAATGTGTCGCCCTCGTGTTCTAGGGTGAGACGGATGGTGTTTCTAACACCGCTAGCCGTAGCAAGGATGGTAGTGTGGACGAGGCGGATGGAGGGAATCTCACGATATGAACATTATTCTTATTAGGATCTGGTTGGATTTTTTGGATTCAGGATGAAGATCAGAACTTATAGAAAGCGTTTGCTATCGGCAGATTTCAGAGAAAGGCGGGTGAAAGTCGCGAGCCTCATTCGCGTGACTGGGGCCCAGGTTTAATTTTTAGTCTCCCGTTAACACAACAAGTGGGGGGGGGGTCCTGATAGACCCCTTCTCTGGTTAAGCTAGACTCTTCGTCTCCTATCTAACGTCAGTAATTGTTTTTTTTTTCCCGGCCTGTTACCGACATCTTTTTTTTTTTATTATGGTCCTTGTCAAGATTCCCAATCTTCCCAATTTGTTTTAATCTCCTTTTTTTTTTATCTTGAGTGAGTGAACGTTTTGATTTTACCTATAGGCAGAATACAGCGGCCACTCTTATTTTTCTTGGGTTGGGCTGGTCCTACTAACATCTTTTTGTTATAGTTTGAACATTTGGTTGTTTTTTTTTTATTTTCGTTGTGGGATCACCCTTCCCCATTCATTTCATGATATATATATTTTTTTTTTTCAGAAAAAAAATGAGAAAAATGATAATAAAAAATTGTAAATATGCATAAATTTTGACATTATGGGGTTTTAGTGGATTCCCCTGTGAGTACGTGGTATTTTGGAAAATGTATGATTGGGTGAAGAGGGATGTGGTGAATAAATAAATTGTAATCGATTAATGAATGAGTCGCTACGAGGATTAGGATTGTTAGTGACGACAAACCTCACCCCACTTCCCCTTGTGTGCTAAAATAATATCTAAAAGTACAATAAACATACACATATTAACATTTAAACCAGCAAAGAGGGTAATGACCTATCCGGTTGTTAATCGTTAAAAGTTGTTAATTTCCTATTTAACCTTTCGTAATGCACCCCCCCCCCCCCATTGCCTATAAAGATTTTACCATCGGGTCATTTAATGGTAGGGACTTGTAAAAAAAGAAAAGCAGGAATTATTGGCTGGGAACATTGATAGTTATATCATTGATGTATGTTGTCTCCAAGAAGCCAAATCAAAGAACGACTTAATATCAGAGTGTGCCCAAGTTAATAGCTTTGGAAACAGACAGTAAATATTATGGAATTTGTTTTGCCATCAGTACCAAATAGAAGAAAAACAACCGTAGACATTGGACAAACAGCCATAATTGAACAATAACATTAAAAAAAAACTATCAATAAAATTCCATCGTTTCTTGTAAAAACTTTGAAGAGCTTAGAAGACCTACAGCACTTTAATTCGTTAGAACATGGCAGGGAGTTTTGAAGACGACGGATAACAGTTATTTACAAAGTTGCTGAAGATAAGAAATCATATTGATTTGGAGTGTGCCCCGAAATCGCTCTTAGCATATTGATGAAGCACATGATTAGTGAGTTAAAAAATAACATTTCCGCTAGATATTTACCAAACATAACTACGAAACAATGCCAACACTGATGATATTTAATTATTGAAGTGGAGCCTGATTTTGAAGAAAGCTTTCATTTCAATTTGGAAATTTGAAATTCTTAATGTATTTCTTGCTAATTTATAAATTGAAAAAAAGTTTGTAAAAATTCACTTCTTTAAATCAATAAGATTGATTTGATATCAGAAAATCTTTTAAACCAGCCAAAAAACAAAAAAAAAAAAACAAAACAAATTTATAAATATTGATTTTGTATTTACTAAATTATAGCAGCTTATAATTAACAAGCACGGCGAATTGGAACATTTTTCTATGATTAGTAAACACGACTGATCGAACAATGCAATCTAAGTTGCGACCTCACTACTATGGCTTTATGTCAAACTAAGTTAAACTTATAAAATAAGCGAGGAGCCTACCGTAGAGTGATAGATAGCAATTTTCGTCTCACATAACAATTCAATAACATCGTTCAATAATCTATCTGATAAAATACAGTTTTAAGGTATGCTATATTTATAAGGTGTTCAATATCCAGGATAGAGCGTATGTCGATATAAGCCGTGTGAACACAGAGTTCAAAAACGAATGGCGATAGTCTGTTTCATGTTTGAACGCAATGTTCAGGTCATATGTAACGATATATATTATGTGTATTTAGGCATCAAATGTTCTTTAAGGCAAATATTATTAAACATAAGAGAAATTTTGTGTCAATTAATTTTACTGATCAACTTTTCCAAATTAAGAATAATCCTTCTCAGACAATGAGGAAATTCCATCAGAAATTTTTCGCGGTTAATTTCAGAAGTGAAGTACAAGAAATATGGTTCAAACCTTCGACTTTTTTTAAAGTCATCGTCAGGATAGGTAAAGAAAATTGTCGAGTTTCGTAAAACTAGTGAGCATTGTGACGTAGGCAAAGAGTGCCACTTATCGGACCAGAGTGCCATCAGCTAACACATTAATAAGCAGCATAAAGATCATAGTAACATTAGATAGCTACTCACAAACAATACTAAAATACTAGTAAAATCAAATAGTAAAAACAGACTAATGATCCTCGAAGCAATACTCATACAACAAAAACAACCATCAATAAATAAAACCAATTATAACTTAAGAGCCTGTATCCTCAAATGTATAACTTAAAAAGAAAAAAAAACATGGATGCACTTCAATGTACATTAAATAAACCATACCAATTGTGTTTGGTACGTTTTTTGTTGGAGGTCACATGATGGAAAGTCTGCAAAAATGATATTGGTTTTTCAAAATTTTTGCTACAGGCGTGCTCAGGAATATTTGTCAGGTTAGCAGAAAAGTCAGAAAGTTCATGGGCGTGTGGCTATACAGTTCAATAAACGAAAGTAAGTAAGAGTTATTTCGTTTTTTATGTGTGTATATTGTTAGGGGAGACAACTCTCTTCTAAGGAATCATTGACTCTTCACGGAAAAAGGTGTAGTATGAGACAACAACATGGCTGCTGAAAAATCCACAGACAGTGAATTGTTTATCCAACCCAATCCTGTTGTATCCTGGTTGATGAGAATAAAAACGAATATTGTTTTGTTTTAAAATATATTTAACTGTGTTTTTTTTTTATATTTTGTTGTCCCTAATATTTTGGGTTTAACATATATATATATATATATATATATATATATATATATATATATATATATATATATAAATTAGTATTGAAATTATTTTGGATTAGAAGTGATTTATGTGTTAATGTTTTGAATAACAGGATGTTATGGATTTAGCCATTTTCTTTTAAAAATTTTGTAACTTTGTTGTCATATATCTTGGCTTGGGATAGTAGCTATTCTTTCAGGAAAGGAGATATTGGGAAGGATTGCGGACGCAGATTTATATTTTGATAAGATTCAATAGCAGCACTTTCGAAATTTTTCCTTCTAAGTAAGTTAATTTCTTTTTTAATAAGTGTGGTACTCGCTAGGTCAAAATTATGGTCGAATTTATTTCTATGTATAACTAATGCATTTGATAAATTGTTGTGTATATATTAGGGTAAGTAAATAA